AGGCCAGGGTGAATCCCAAGCAGGAGCAATTAAAAAAATGTGTTGGGGTGACTCAGGTGTCATCCACGGCATCTCTTAAGTCATAAATCACTGGAGTTGATGTCATAAATGATAAGAAGACCTTATTAAAGCCTGACTCATACTGGTACACAACTCATTCTTAGTTTATCATCTTTTTTTCACAGGGCAAGAGGATGGTGTCAATCATTACCTGCTGTACTTCCCATTCTGTTTGACCACAACAACACAACACTTCCCAAACTCTCACCAACCCAAACAGTGTCCCCAGATGGTTAAATGGCCTAGTGCCAACCCCTCCAGCAGTTTCACTACTTCCCCTCAGTCACTGAATCCATGGGTACATGATGGAGAATCAATGTGATAGATACAGTACTGTAATTGTAATTATACAAAGTATCCCACAGTTCTTTTGAACTGTTAAAATACAACTTTAGAAAAGACAGAATACAGTAAACCATTGATTTATATTTAACTGATTTACACAATTGTTATAAATCACCATAAATCGTATACCAGTACTGTAGTACATTACAGTACATTTTTTTTTTTGCACATTTGATGTTATTGAACATCTTGTACAAACAAATACTGTATAAATATACTGTATACAGGTATAAGATTTCAGGAACTTTTTGTAAACAGTTCCAGGATGTGTTGGTGGTAAGCCTGAGGAAAATACCTGTAGTCACAAGATCACTGTGTCCAGAGTCTGCTTCACGTATCTACATTATTGGTTTATTCTCATTTCATCAAGATCTGCAGCTTGTAAAGTTACCAAGCTGGATCTGATTAATCTCAATAGAGTAGAGGAACAGAAACAAAATCCAGAGTTAAACTTAGCCAGTTAAAATGGCTAGAGCCCTCTTTGGTTTGGACTGGGAGCTGTACAGTATTCAGTATTCCTCAAACAGAGCTGAAATGGTGGGGAAGTGTCAGTCAAAATTAAAAAAAATCCCTGCATTAACTTGAGGGAGCTATGGGTCCTTCTTTTCTTGTTACTATGTAATATAGAATCCATTAGTAAGAGACTATTGAACAGTATTCTTTATAAAAACCATGTTGGCTGTGACATGCATCACAAAGAGAGAGCTTTGTATTTTTCATAATGAACAATGCAGTGAGTGCAATGTCAGGCTATTTTGCAGGCGAGGATATTGCTTGTACTTGGAAAATTTAAGCAGATAATTTGTTGAGGAATAAGAAGGTATAAGGTGGTACCTTCTGAATGAGGTTAGTTTAAGAATCCTTTTCATGGAATTGTTTTCTGAAAGTGGTTTGTTTGTTCTCCTTTAGTGGATCTGTTTATTATGGCAGACAATACCAAGTGACTAGCGTTTGTTCTAAGTATTGTTCAGGAGTGCTTATGATGTGGACTCTTTCTCCTTAGGCTGGAACACTTGGGGTTGCATTATTTGTTTCCTTCATTTTTCACAATTTTTAAGCTACAAGAAAGCTCCTGATTTTTCTTAGAAATACTGTACTGTAAACTGCTTTCTGTCCTGGCAGCATCTGGTTTCTTTCACTCTTGTTAGTCCATCTTTTCTGTCACAAGATTAAGGCTGGAAGACTATTTACTGTCCTAGTCCTCATATTTACAGTCTTCATACCGCCCTCCTAAGATTTCATCAGATCACTAAACAAAAACTTATTTAATGAAGTTTGGATTCATGGTAAGAGCCAGCTCCTACTGTAATACTGCAGGGTTGGCCACCATGTATACAAGGAAGTCATGTGTACTCCCTGATGGAACACTGTTGTCATCTGTTGTGTTGCGGCACTTCATCTCCTTAATCTTATACAGTACAGAAAAAAGCCACCAAATCAGGGGTTATATTGATAATTAGTTTGATAATGACACGTGTCTGGTCTCTCTTTGCAGTGTTTATTTGTAAAAAAAAATCTGCCTACTAATGTTAAGTGTCATGCCCCATCTAGATAATGCTTCAAGGAGTACATAGTAGGGCTTACTGCAGCTCTAGGAGTTATCAGGGAGGTTTACACTGATGCTCTACCTTAATGCAGGTATTTTCTGTTGTGAGGCCCAGGACCCATCATATAAAGGTTGCCAAAAACCAGATTGTGTTTCAGGAAAGCCATATATATATACAGGTTGTACCTATCTAGTCCGGCAACCTCGGGACCTGACCGGTGCCGGACCATGGAAATTCACCCTTTTCCTGGATAGATAGTGACTTGTGCTTATGCTTGGAAGCACTAGCACCACTTTCTCTGCATCATGGTCTCTTTGAAGACATATTGAAGGGTTAAATGTCATATAGTAGCTTCTCAAATTTCGCGAGTTTTTAATTCTTAACGTATTTTATTGGAACACACCAAAAAATAAATAAATACAAATTTTGACGGCGGAAACTTGAATTTCGACGGGTTTGAACGGCCCGCCAACGTACAGACGACGTGCATAATCGTGTAAACAGCGTCATTTCTCTTATGTACAAAAGATTCATTATTGTTTATTACTGAATGTCTTTTTTATTGAATTAATGTTTGTGTGCAAAATGAGCAATGCAATTCATTAATAATACGTAGAATATTAAAACACACGAGGAAATGACACAGCATTGTTTTCGTTGATTACAAAGCCAGTGACTGACTGGTTCTACATATAAAACTGAAGAAAATAAGACCTTGGTTGTAGCTGCAGTAAAATTAATATGGTTGTTTTAAGTAATGTTATTTAATGTTAATAAATGGAACAATAGTAAGTAGCTAACGATAATGGTAAAGAAAAAAGAGAGATCGCGTATGTAAGTGCGCATGCGCACACGTGAAAACATATCGTCATTACTTTACATAAGAATATGAAAGCAACACTTATTTACTATTCATATATATTTTAATTAATGTTTCTGAATTTGTTTTTATTGAATTAATGTATGCGTGTGCAAAATTAACAATACAATTTATTAATAATACGTGGAATATTAGAGGAGACAAGACAGCTGCCGGCATTGTTTATGTTAAAGCTTACGAAACCAGTGACTGATTGGTTCTACATATAAAACTGAAGAAAATAAGACCCTGATTTTAGCTGTAGTAAAATTAATGTAAAAAAATAATATGATTGTTTGAAGTACCTGTAATGTTATTTAATGTTAATAAATGGAACAATATAAGTAGCTAACCATTAATGGTAAAAAAAATGTGAGACTGCGCGTATGTAAGTGCGCACATGTGAAAATATATCGTCATTACTCTACATAAGAATATGAAAGCAACACTTATTTACTGCTCATATATATTGAAGGGTTAAATGTTGTACTCTGTACAGACAAGCAGAGAGAGAGAGAGCAGCCGAACTGCCGGATGTAAACAAACCTTAATTTCCCGCGGCTGTTTTTTTTTTTTAAGGGGATTAGCCCACTGGGGCAAAAGGTCACTGACCCACATTGGGGCCTGTGGGGCAAAAACCTATCTACCTATTGGACAAACTAAAATCGTTCCGGACCACGGGAGTTTCCGGACCACAGAATGCCGGACTACAGAGGTACAACCTGTATAATCCTTTAGTGATTGAGGTACTGACCACTCTTACATAGATTTTCAGCAGAGATGCCTATAATAATCCTTGTTTCTTTAGCCAGAAGAATTGTACCTGAGAGGTTGTAGTTTTCATGGTTAGATCAATTGCACACTTTTCAGAGAATCTGCAAGTAGGTCTAGATATGTTGTCTGCTCAATGAGTACAAATGCAACATGAGTGACCTTTGAAACCTTCTTGTTATTTTCATTACCTCAGATTCCCTCCGTTAATACTGTATATCTACAACAATGTATTTGAAGATCCCAGGTCATTACCACAGCCAGGAGGGTGACATGGATTAAGCCTGTGTTTCAATATTGTATTCACCAAATCTAATGATGGACTTGGTTGTTCATCCTTATTCGGTGGCTAAGGATTCCTATTTTGCCCCAAAAATGGCCAAGGATGAAGACCACCATCCGTTCAACTAACTTCCAATGATGATGGCTGCTGTTTAAGGGTTAAATCTTTAATTCCATTTTATGTGGCACATCTATTGTACAAACATTATTGCACTTGTGAAACACCCTGTTCTGATATTGATTATGTGCTTCATTGTATCCAAGCTGTGTTACTTAGGACACATCAGATCTTGCTTAGAGGTCTTGTTTCCTTGGGACAAGATAGTGATGGGGTGAGACCTCTTGTCCAGTATTCCCTTTATGCTAAGATCATTTCCTTGGTAAGAAGAGAGAGCTGCTGCAGGTGTGTTAGAGGTGTCTAAATCACTGTATTGATATTACATGTATTTCTAAATCAACTCAAGAGCTTATGGGAGGTATTCATTTTTAGTGTTCATATAGCAAAATACAGTACAGTATATGGTACAGTATTTAGCTATCAAATTGCTCTCAGTGTATGCCAGAAAACAGAATCAAAGCCAAAGCATTTTACTTTGAATAATAATAAGAAATAAATAACATCTTTTTTCCAATCACATCAATGGCCTCCAAGAATCAATCTCTTCCAACCCAAAGAATCAAAATTTTCAATCACAGGTAAACAACACATTACAGTACAGGTGGTTTACATAAAGAGGACCCCCCCTATTGAAGAGACTAAGGGGGAGATTACCATGTTGTACACCATCTACAACACCTGTATGAACTAAACACCTCATAGGAAAGGACAAATCGTACAATTAACGTTACTAGTCTTAGCTACAGTATTTCCCCATGAACACGGTCGCACGTAATGATGAATGCAAAAGAGACTCCTGCCATATCTTCACAACCGATTAGCTAATGACGTGAAGCAATAGTCGGTGATATTTTCTGATAACTTACATCCAACATACTACCCAGCCTCATAACTCTCCAACATACTACTGTAAATTGCCCCATGATAACACTCTCCAACATACTAACCTGCCTCATAACATTCGGCTAAATTAGATACAGGTACAACAAATCAAGTAACAGGTAGCTACAGTACTCACCTTAGTATCTTTTGCATAGTACAGCTTGTGTCCCTTGAGTTTAAAATATCGTTTACGCCACCGCTGAAATGACGAGGTCTGTTTCATCAGGAAGCCTTCTTTAATGGAAACCTGCAAAAGAGAAAGGATATAATGTACTCAGAGGTTGGTGTGGGAAAGAGAAAGAGAGAGAAGAGAATAAGAGAAGGAGAGAACGAGAAAGAGAGAAAAATCATACTGTATCTTAAAATGAAGTAAAATCACAAAATCACAACAATTAAATTTTAAACGATGAATTCAATATACAGAAGGTACAGATCTTTCATCTCCATAGTCTTTCTAATCTGAAGAATTTTTCTAGGATAGAGAACTACAAAATTATGACGTAATCGAACATGTGAACATAGAGCCAGCCTGTAGCCCATGTGCTTAAACCTTAGGAACAGTGTAGGAGAGTCTCCCATGCATATTTCTAATCCAGTCGTACTGTCTCCAACCTCTATACAGTACTCTGCAAGGATTACTTTTGTACACTTTATACATATACATTTTGCTCACAAAAACATGAGCTACTACCGGCAACCACAAATACATTCTACAGGAGTGAATAGGGATACAGTGTCTAAAAATAATACACAAGTAGTACAGTAATATATATACATAGAGCAATAAGAAAAGACAGGAAATGAATGACAATACTGTATCCCTGGATCTAGTCTACTTTCTATGCACCAAGCTATTCTGAAGGACTGAGCTCTCCACTCACCTTTATCCATTGTTGCCTCCACCTACAAGGACCCATTGCTTGGCGGCACAACAAATTCATTGGTGTCCCTAGAGACTGGGTAAACACACATGTACCCTGGTCAACATTAGCTCATTACCCATCCCATGGGTCAGATGTGTCCTTAAGTTTATTTTCTCCCATCAGTATATCCCTACAGTACTCTTTACCTCAAACAACCTACAAACTCTCTACAGTAAACTCTAAAACTATATTGCAAACACATTAATTTACAGATTAATGTACAGGGGTACAGTACTTTAAAACAGTGTTCTGAAAATCTTGCATAAAAAATTATCCAAAAAATCAACCCTTTCCATTCAAACAATATATTTAAGTCAAAGTACAGTAATTATACACTAAGATAATGAAGCTAAAACACATCAAAATAGCTTAGCTTAGTTGAAGGAAACAAGAGTCCCAGAAGTGGTGCTGTTTATATCACCAACAGCTCAGTTTAAAGGGTAGATCTGAGGAAGAACATTGAGCCCTATAAAAATTTACTCCCAGCTAAGGAAGGAAAGGGAAACACATTTAACTGCCTTTGTGTAGTGGCAGCACCATCCTCATGAGTCCTACTGTCAAGATTACTGTACTGTATACTAACAGTTGACCTCATGAAGGTTAGGTACATAATGTTGAGGAGCACACACTTTCCCCACTTAATATAACGATGATGTGAACTCCATACAATAGAGAAACAGTTCACACCAAGATGAACTTCACTTGTTATAATATATTCACAGGACAAAGAATAAGAAATTGGTGTGCTTCACAGTTTTTTACCAATTTCCATTTACTGTATTAACTACCATGTTTGCAAGTAAACTTTCAACCATAGATTAGTTCTCAAAAAGATGAGATCACAAATTTTTTATACAAAAAATAAATAAAAAAGGAAACCGTTAAACTAACTTCCATGTCTGCGGCCAGACCTTTCATAAAAGAACTGTAAATAAGTTTCAACAGTTATGGCACTTCTGACAGATGATGCCAAAGACATCAGCAATACTACGGCACGGTAAGCAGGTACCGCACTGTCCCCGATTCAGAGGTTTGTGGATGCTGATAAGCAGATCATGAAAGACTTGGCAGCATTCTATGAGTACAACTCAATGCTAACTTGCTTAGAGAAGCCAATACTGGCATTATGAAGGTTGCGGTGTCTGACTTATGAAAGTGCATTGGAAAAAGCAATGATGCAGCAGGCTAAACCCTGCAAAGGTGCTGCTACCCTGATTTAAGTACTGTACTGTACAAGGTATATCAACCCCTGGACACTTACTTCCACTGTGCAGCTCACAAGCTGAACCTGTGTGTGTGGTGAGCACCTGCAATCAGCATCTTTGGAGAACGGGCAAGGTTTTGAAGTCTCTCTCCAAAGTGAAAAAACAGAAAGAATTATGCCCTGGTTAAAAAAATGAATAAAAAAAATTGCTGAATATATCCCAGACAAGGTGGGTTGGGCACCTGGACCTCATTCTACACATCCATAGACAATACTGTATCACACCACGTCAAGCTTTCAATTCCTGTTTACTATGGTGGCTTAACATTAATGATGGACTATAGCACAACCAACTAAATCTAAAAAACTTAAACTACAGTACAGTACTATAATAGTGTACTGCACTTGACACAGTTCTCATGGGTAAACTACATAGCTTCAGTACTTTTCACAGAAACTGCAAAGAAGAAAAGGAGTCTCTCAACTATAGGCCTGAGCACTCGTAGTACAGTACAGTGTATCAGTAATATTCAAGTTTAGCATCATGTGGCAGTGCTCCTTTACTGATAAAAATCAGACATTTAGAGATACAGTACTGTAGTTACTGTTATTTACTAGAAGTCACGGAACATGTAAACATTAACAGAGGATCATATATTTTAACTTCTCTGTGAGCCTAACTTTTTTTCAGCCAAAACCAAAATGTTATCATATTTTTTTCTTCTACGAAAAAAGAATAAATACTTAATTACCACAAAAGTTATCACCAGTACAGCACAGTACAGTACCTACTGTATGTCAAGTTTTCCTATAGTAACCATTCTTACGTTCATGTTAGGTTGTTTTTATAGTCATTAACAATGGCTAGTAGCCCTCGAGTCACCCTAAGGTATCACTGTTTACTGGTGGTGACACTTCAAAGACAATACACAAGAAGAATTTACACTTATTCATTTATGCTTTTCCATGAGAAATTTACCAAATTGTTTGCTTTAATGTATGGAGAGTAAATCTAATGATGGAGCATTGAAAAACAACTTCAAGTGTCCTCCATGCCTTGGGTGAATGACACCAAACCATCACTGAAATAAAATGCAGTATATATCTGACTTTGGTAGGAATAAACATGGGGGTCCTGGCAGTTCTCAGTGGGTCCTGGCAGTTCTCAGTGGGTCCTGGCAGTTCTCAGTGGGTCCTGCCAGTTCTCAGTGGGTCCTGGCAGTACATAGTGTGTCCTGGTATTACTCAGTATATTCTAGTAGTATTCTGTGGGTCCTGGCAGTATTTAGTAGATCCTGGGTAGTACTCAGTGTGTCCTGGCAGTACTCTGTGGTTCCTGGCAGTATTTAGTAAGTCTTGTGTAGTACTCAGTGAGTCCTGGTAGTACTCAGTGTATCATATATGACATAAACTATTATCAAACACCCAGACTATATCACCCTCATCAAACACCCAGACTATATCACCATCATCAAACACCCAGACTATATCACCCTCATCAAACACCCAGACTATATCACCCTCATCAAACACCTAGACTATATCACCCTCATCAAACACCCAGACTATATCACCCTCATCAAACACCCAGACTATATCACCAAACACCCAGACTATATCACCAAACACCCAGACTATATCATCAAACACCCAGACTATACCACCCCTCATGTCATCAAACACCCAGACTATATCAACAAACACCCAGACTATATATCAAACACCCAGACTATAATACCCTCATCAAACACCCAGACTATATCACCCTCATCAAACACTCCAGACTATATCATCAAACACCCAGACTATATCACCCTCATCAAACACCCAGACTATATCACATCAAACACCCAGACTATATCACCAAACACCCAGACTATATCACCAAACACCCAGACTATATCACCCTCATCAAACACCCAGACTATATCACCCTCACCAAACACCCAGACTATATCATCAAACACCCAGACTATATCACCCTCATCAAACACCCAGACTATATCACCCTCACCAAACACCCAGACTATATCATCAAACACCCAGACTATATCACCATCATCAAACACCCAGACTATATCACCATTATCTTGTCATGTAGCAACAGTTAATATTTCGTTACCCCACTGGAATACACTCCTGAAAGACTATATGAAATAACGTTACCACTTCTTACAGACATCCTAACAGTTGCCACACTTACTTTAACTCGTGAATAGTTGAGTATTTAAACACGACCAACCATGTTTCTACCTCAAGGGATTCCATTGTTTTTATTTGATTTTTGTATCCATTACAACCTCACTATTGGTAATTCTTTGGTTAATTGTATGTTAGTTTGTTAAATCAGTTAATCATTCAGTAAGATGTTCATACATAACAATAAGAGAACGGAACATAAGCGATTGGCGACACCCTCTCACTCACGCTTATCCCAGTCTACTTACACTACATTTTATTTCTTTGTTAGTTGAAATTCTCCTGTGGAAAGATTTAGCAGGTTCAGTTTCACCCTCACTCTCAGAGGAATCCCCCTCGGCGTAAGCCCCTGTAGGTTTTCCCGGCACACTAGCATGAAGCTCACTTCCCCCCGTCGCCATATTTACACTGTCAAGTTAGTGGTGGTGTTGCCATAGTAGCCACGCGAGAGTGTCTGGCAATAATATGAGTCTCCCGGAAGCTCTGTCTTTTTACTGTAACTGACAGGTGGTTTCCGGGTAGTTAGACCACAGTATAGTGGATATTATCGAACTAAGACGATAAATGGATAATACCGAAGTTGAATGTTTGAGTAAACTATTGTGAATTAAAATAACTGGAAATACTTTTGCAGTTACGCAAAATACTACTGCACAAATGCATAAGAAAATAATATACTGTGTGTACCACTTCTTTATCAAGCAAAGTGTTTGTTCGTGAGTCTTGACAGAAACACCATGATTTTTCCCGATGCATGTAATTAGTGTCATACAAGCCAGTCCAGAATACTGAGTGTGATGTGATGCCTTATCACAAAAGGAGACATTTCCGGGTATATAACACTGGGGGTGCGTAATTTTGTTTCCCCTTTCAGGAACTCGCCAGAATATGGTAATCATTATTGATATCTTTTCTCTCTAGGAACAGCAGTTTACTTTTATCCTCTTCGCCATTGATCGGCAAGATTCTTCAATGGTGGGGCAGTTGATGTTATTGATCAAGAGGCAATTGTGTTAAGGTTATGGTCTTAATAATAAAGCCGAAGGCAATGGGCCGGAAAATTTATGTTTTTGAGGGATAAGAAGGGCAGAAATAATCCGAATAAAAATCAGTCACTAAATCGATGAGGTTGCTGAAAAAATGACTAAGAGAAGGTGTTTAGTTTTTAGACTGATCTTTACATTACTTTCTCCTCTTCGCCACCTGACAGTCTAATAGCTAGTAGGGTGGTCAGTCTGTTTTGATCGTTATTACTCTTGACAAATATTGGGCAAGACTACGAGCTCTTAAATGTGTGGGTTTTTTTTTTCGCTGGGATTAGCCCACCCGGTTACTGACCCACATCGGGTCCTGGAGGGCGAAAATGTAATAATAATAATAATAATAATAATAATAAAAATAATAATAATAATAATGATAATAATAATTTATGTGCCAGTGTTAATCAAGTCTTGATTTGAACTCGCATTTCGTGCTATTTCAACATTCTCCAAAAAGTTACCCCTGCCAGTTTTCAGTACTGACAGTTTCTTTAACTTCCTATTAGTGACGAAGAGAAGTAAAATCAAATAATCTCTAAAGGGCATCCAACTCCAGATACCGGTATGTATGTAATCTGAGTGAGTAGTGTCGTTTGAAGTGCTTATACATTCTTGTTAGATCGCCCTCTATCCACCTACAGTATAAACTAGGTAAGTGAAGATATTTTTATGTCCATACAAGTAAAGGCGCCTGAGTGCTAATACAGTACTTAATTTGGTGGCTCTCTGGACGTTCGAAATCAAATGGTAGTCTTGTGTAACGCGGACCATCTGAAGGATCTTCGTTTAAGTCCAGTAGTGCTCAATTCAGCTGATCATTAATAGTTATGACAATTTCAAATCGAAACTTTTCCTTTCCAGTTAGCCAGCCAGTGGACGTGAGCCATCATATCTACTAATGCCTCAGTGATAGTCCCCCACTAGCTCAGATACATTAAAGAATCCACATGTCTACAGTACTTACCATGGCAGTTCACGGTTGAAAAAACTACACGAATCGCTTTTGCTAAGGAACGTATTTTTTCGGCCAAATTAAAAACTAAACGCTTGTAGTTAAATCCAGGGTTATGTGAATTCCGTTAGAGTATTTGCATATTGACCATAAACTGTATTTATCATCACTGTCAGCACTACACTTTAGTTCTGGTAAGAAATCTTTGCTAATGGCTTTGACTTTAGGCCTTATTTAATATCAAGTTATCGATTACGGCACACCTCCGAAAGCGCCCGAGGGTGATTCTACACTAACAAAACTAACAGTGGGGAATATAGAGGATGCAGGAAACCCCAATGTAGATAGGACAAAATACAAGTCACAGTACCATTTTACAGTAAGTTACCTTTGTCCGGCTTCATTTCATTGCTTCCATTTGTGGGAGGGGCTTCTATGTAGATGTCATCTCCTTGAAATATATGACTGGGAGACTCTTTCTCTATCCTGAAGTGACTGAAGGGTACCAGTCAGTCAGGGAAAGAACGAACGCGAGATACAGAAGCCAGTAACCGGGGTCTTGTGGTTCATTTAATTAAGGGCCAACTCATTTCCGGTGTAACAGGCCAATTTACAACCCCTGGCCACCTAATATTCTGAATTTTAACTGGCTTATTATTGTCTCCTTTGGAAAGGCGCCACAGACTGACTTTAGTTAATAATCTAACCTAACGTAACCAAACCCTAGGTGCCTAAATATCAGGTGACCCTCACCAATGATCAGCTTACTTGCCCGGGTAGTTGGTCTATTATTTGTTACTTAACGTTTATCGTTCAGTGTCAGTACAGCAGAAAATCGGAGTACCAGGAGAAAACCTGTGACGTTTTTGGTAGTCACACTGAATAACACCCTTCTATCGTGTGACCCGGGCTGGGGATTGAACCCAGGACATATTCACGAGTGATGGCGCAATCTTTTCTTCTTTATCCTCTTCACCACTAATCGGCTCGTTAGCCGCATGGGCGATCGATCACGTCTCTGTTACGCAATGTTGGCAAGTACTGGGCATGCACCGGCTCCTGAATGTACCTGAACCTGCTCCAGTGTTGGTCAAGTCTGGTCTTGAAAGACCTCACACTCGGTGCCGTCATAACACCTTCTGGTAGATTGTTCCAAGAGTTCACAACTCTCACTCCGAAAAAGTTTGCCCTCACAGTTTTCTGGACCTGCGGTTTCTTCAATCTTGAATTGTGACCCATTGTGGGGCGAGCGTCCGCCAGCTTCAAGTAAGGACACTCGACTGAGTAGTGCCCCCTGAGATGCTAATTACACCTCAATTAGGTCGCCCCTTGCCCGTCTGCAGTATAAGCTAGGCAAGTTCAGGCGCTCCAATCTCTCAGGGTAGTCGAGGTGCCGAAGTGCAGGCACCAGTCTGGTGGCCCTCCTTTGAACATTTTCAACCAACTGACAGTCCCTAGCATATCTTGGGGACCAGACGGGGTGACAGTACTCCAGATGGGGAAGCACTTCACTCTTGAAGATCGTTACGAGGACGGACTGTAATGGTCATGATAAGAGCTAACCTGAAAACCTTAAGGATTCATATTACGCTCAAACGTCCACAAAACCTTCCGAGTCCCCCAGTGGAAACGTCCCCCGTTTTCTCTGTTTCCCCCGCCTTTGTCTATGGGAGCAGACGCTGTATGCTGGGACCTGTTGCCATCCATTCCTTTGTAATCAATTTAATTTTGCTTTCGATAGCTGAGTCAGAGCATTGTTAGTGAAGATAATAGTAGAGAATGAAAATGAGTTCATAGTCTCAATTTCAACGTCAGAGGGTACCGTAAATTAATTCATTGGAATAGGAGTAGCTGGACTCCCTGGCCTAGTTTGAGTGAGGGCGCCGCGGGCATTTTAACCGTTAGTAAGTGCCCGTCCCTTCATCCATACAGGTATGCCATTCCACGCTGTGTTGTAATTTGCCCTTCTTTAAGTGATTTGACCCAATTAATAGTTGATTGTGCAAGTGTTACAGTAACGTAGTTGATATGCTCTGAGTAAAGTCATATTTACGTCTTTAACGTCCCCTGAAACGTGTTGTTGTTGTCACCAGTTAGTAAGTGCCCGTCCCTTCATCCATACAGGTCCCTAACGCAGCCTAGGCCGTGTCTGTAGGGTGGATGTTGTATCCACTATGTCTGGGGACATGTCCGAGGTCCAGTAGGATCAGTTACCTTCGTGAGACCCGGCCGTCAGACACTTCAGACCACCTATAGCCCCCATAGCTGGCTCGTCTGGCCCTAACGCTCGGTCCACGAGGTGACCCCGGACCACCAAGCCACACACCACTACCAGCCCCCATCATTGGTGGATGAGTGTCTACCTCAGTAGGGCTATATTTGTGTGGTGGAATTAACCCACTGGGATCTCCAGAGTTCGTCGGATAGTACTCCATGGTGGCTGGACCCCATGGCTGTTGCTTGAGTATCACTCCTGACGACTGAGTGTTGTAGTGGCAGTTGCTCTAGTATGTATGGTGCTAAGTGACTATCCTAGTTGTGCTATTGAGTATGTCCACCCAGTAGGGTTGGAAGGGTATTGAATATGTCCACCCAGTAATGGTGTGAGTATGTTGAGCCTGAGGGCCTAGTAATAGATTTCGTCTGTTAGTACAAACCAATTCTTTCTTCTAATTTCATATTCATGTTTAAATAAACTTTGTATTTGTATAATTGTGTATATTATTTACCTACAGTATTTACCGTTATTTCTTCCCTATTGCTTGATACTATCATTACACCTACCCACGAGCCTCCTATCGTCACGCTACCAATGGTGATATATAAGAGTAAAAGGAATTGTTACTGGCACACAGGCCCTCATGAAGGGTGGCAGTAGCAGCCCTCATAAATGGTGGCACTTCAAGCCCTCATAGGACCGTTTAGATATCTTAACGACCTTCTTATAAGACCATTTATTTGCCTGATTTACCTTCTCGCAATGGCCCGAGAACTTCAGCTCATTGTCAATATACACACCTAGGTCCTTCTCACATTTAGTCTCAAATAGTGCAGTTTCTTCATCCCGATGGGACATATGATACGCCTCCTTACCGTTGGTACGCCCCAGGTGCATCCTCTTACACTTCGTGACATTGAATCTCAGCAGCCATTTCTTCGACCATTCTTGGAGCTCACAGAGGTCCTTCTGCAGCTCTTCACAGTCCGCATAGTTGTTGATTTCCCGAAATAACTTGGCGTCATCGACAAACATTTCTATGGAGGAGTGTACAACACCAGGCATGTCATTTGTGAAACAAACAGACAGCAGTGGGCCCAATACACTGCCCTGTGGTACCCTGCTTGTGACAGGTATAGATGATGATTTCGTGCCACACACTGCTTGTGGTCATGTAGAAAGTCTTCTATCCAGGAGAGGACATTTCCCCGAATTTCGTACCCTTCCAGTTTGATTTTCAGCCTTTCATGGGGTACACTGTCGAAAGCCTTGGCAAAATCTAGGTATATATTGTCGATATTACCACCCCGTTCCAGAATATGGGACCAAATATCCAATACCTTGAGCAATGTGTTAAGCAGGAGCACCCCGGCATAAAACCGTGTTGGAAACCATACCCTCCTCGTTTGTAATAATGAGGTCTAGTGGCTTGGGTGTTTGCTCCCCTCTGTAGTATGTGTCGGGTCTCTAACATGTTGGAACAGAAAATTATCTCTCAGAGTTTCAACAAAAAGAGTAGCAGGGTTATTCAAGTCATTTGGGGGTGAACTCGTTTCTCCAGTCGATGTCGCCAAAGTTAAAGTCCCCCATGATAAGGAGGTGGCTAGGGTTGAGCATCGCCGCGTTGTCTATTTTTTTTATTATTATTTACAAATTTTACAATTTACATATATACTGTATACATATTACATATTAACATATTTGTAAGTGAAATATTTGGATGACTTTTCTTTTAAAATACACCTGATCATCTATTTATTATAATATATCCTGCCTTTAATAAAGGCTATAGTCTCCTTAACATTATAATTTTCTTTCCTACTTAACCACATACAGTAAATGTAATCTGACATTAGCATGATCATTGTATTCTTATCCTTATTATCACTACAGTTAATATTAAACATTAAGAAATGTAGAAATAATTTGCTATTGACATTGCAGACTGTATTCAGGAGATTTTTAAACCATTTAATTATCTCTTTGTTATGGAAACAGAAGTAAAATACATGTAATGGATATTCTACCTCACCACATCTTACACAACTATCATCTTGTTTTATGTTTAACATTTTTAGTCTCTGATTTGTTGGTAGAGTTTCATGAATAAACCTATATATGAAGCCTCTCTGGTGAGGATCCATATATTTACAAGTAATATTTTCCCAAATAAAAGGCCATTTAAACAGCGGATACTTTTCTTCAACTGCAGGTTTTGTCCATATTAACATATTGTATACATCTTTATTCTTGACATTTGGAAAGTTATGATGCCTTGCTAACCTTCTTAGAGTATTGATCGCAATACTATAATAAGGTGGAGACAAGTAGGAAACATTATCCGTAGGTTTCATTTCTAATAGATAGCTGGTCCTTATACTTGTATAATATGGAGTTAAAGATTTCCTCTTTTCATGGTCTGAAGCAATTTTTATGAAAGTTGTACATAATATAGCAGCTGCTTTACAAAACACATTAACTACGCCAATACCACCTTGTTTGACAGGTATATACAGAGTTTGTCTTTTAATTTGCTGGTACATACCACTCCATATGTATTTAAAAATACATCGAGTCAATTTTCTGTGAGTACATTTTATTTAATGGAAACGTTGTCTATTAAGGCTCTTAAGTTCCTTTGATTTAGTGGGCCACAGTTTGGGGATCTGTAGAGACACTCGACGAGAGGGTCCCCCCCCCCCCCTTTAATTTAATTTTACACCACTTGGACTCTTCAAAAACATCCTCTCCCTGTACCCTCGCCTGGCTGGCTCTAAGGTCTTGCCTAGCATAGATAACCACACCCCTCTTGTAAGTCTCTTGAGAAAGGTTTGTAAATCAGCCATATCCAGCAATACTGAACACACATTCCTCTGGGTCGATTCTTCTGTTCTTGTACAACAGTTCTACAACCCCTACAATATCTGGTTGGTGTACCTTCAGTAGTGTTTCAAACTCCTCTCTCTTATCAAGGAATGTGTCAGTATTACTGTACATTACAGTACATTCAAGCCAGAATTTGTTCTCGGTCGCGTCTCTGCTCCAAGTAGTACCCCATTCTCAGAAGCTGCAGCATTTGCTAAGTACACTGTATTTTGCAAACCAAAACCAATTGATCCAAATTAAATAATATGTCAATCATTTGATATGATCTAATAATAGTTTGATGTAATAAGTTTAGTTTCATTTTGTGATTTACTTTATCAACAATTTAATAATAAAGAAAGCCAGTGTTAAAATTATACAACAAACGGAACCTCTGAACTAAATAAGTTTTAGATGAAACCTAAGAACAAAATCTACTTAAAATAATACTAATTTACTGTAATTTATAATATAATCCCAAATTAATTTATTTTTATGGTAAATAAACCTAACTAAACTGAAATAAAAATTTTATGTTCTTCGAGGTAATTTGCGTAACATTGTCTTGTCTCGGTCGGCCACCATTATCAACAACATTTGAGTTTGTCGCCAAGGTGGAACAAACTTTTCCTATTTGTTTTCATAATCATTCCCTAATTTTATGAGGAATAATATTGCAATTTTAATTTATTTGATATCATAGCTAAAATATCACACGTGGGTGTAGTTAAACTGGATAGAGAGGTCATAGGATGGATGGGTGTTTTATAGATATATATATATTGTTAGTTGGTAGTGTAGTGAACTGGCCAATGGTTGTACATCTGTTCAAAGTTTTGTGGTTCTGTGTGATGTATTTTGTCTGTGCTGTTCTTGTCCGTCTTATGAACTTTGGGATACAGGATAATGTGTCACCCTCCCCCAATCCATGTGTCCCCTGCCCAAGTGTCCCCAAGTCGATGTGGGTAATACTCGAGGACACTCCCTCAAGAAGCAGCAACATTATGAAAAAAAATACATTAGATAATTTATTTCTTACCTAAAGAATATTCTGAAAGAAGTTGAGAAATTCAAAATTTGTTCATTATTATTTGCATTGTCACACCGTTCTCTGTTAGAAAGTCAAAAATATATTTTTCTAGTGTATTTGTGTGTGTTTAGACCGAATATTACCTTCATTTCTGGCAGAAATTAGCCTTTTTTTTCGATTTTTTTCCATTGGACGTTTTCCGAAAAAAATCATGGTAAAATGCACCAAAAAACACTAGAAAAAAACAACAACAACCTAACCTAACCGAACCTACTCTCACCATATGATGGAATCACCTATTTCTGACCTTATTGGCCTGGTTCTTGTTCGTCGTTGCATTCTGGGATTCTTACTCGACGCCACATATGTTGGTCTTTGCGATATTTACATTCAGTCTTGCTCTTAGTACACTTTACTGAGGTTGGAAGAACACCATGCGATCGAAAAAATGCAATTGTTTCTAGGTTTTTTTTCCAAAAACTCGCAATCAGTTCCATATACTTTAAGTGACACCCATCACAGACTTCTATGGTTGGAACTGAACTTGAATATCAAAATATGAGAGACCCAAAATAAAATTCGAATTTGACTGGGCCAAATATACAGTACCGCAAATTAAACCCAAAATCATTTTAATTGGTTCCAAAAGCAAAAACACTTTTGATTGGCTGCGTGACATGTATGGGAACGCATGCTCATGATGATTTATGAAGGACACACGCAGTGTTGGAGGTGAGGCAGGCGATAATGGAGGAAGATTAATGGAAGAAAATAGAGAAAATTTTAGATATGCTATCTCCGTTATTATACATTTCCGCCGGTAATGTAATCGATGAAAATTATCTTATAATTAGACGTCTTATTCGAATATGATAATAGATTAGTGGTAGGAATGAACGGTGTGTAAACGCAATAATACCAAGGTAACAGTATATGGAAGGGTCTCTGGGTAGTGTCAGTTGGTCATTGGGAAATAATTGTCAACAGATGAAGCACAAATGTAGTGTCTTCAGGTGATGGAAAGTGTTTGCTATGAACAAAATCCTGTTAAAAATTACAAAAATGAAAGTTAAGAAAGTTGGAAATCCTTCACCTGTAGAAATTATTGTAAAGTTGCAGGGCTCTTAGGGCACAGCACAGCACAGTATATTATAGTATAACCGTCAATTTGTCTCCCTATATAGCTGGTCCACAAGTACCCCTGTCTGGTCATTCTGCCCGCTGGTTATTCTGTACCAAGTTGTTCCATTTAAATACTCCATCATGATATCGTGAATTAATGGTCTTAAGCAATACACAAACAGTACAGGTTGGGGTCAGTGGTTTGCGATTCATATACAGGTACAGTACAGGTATTCTGATAAATGCCCTTTTTGACTGTAAGGCTCACAAATATCCTTTACTCTGTCTGCTATATTATTTTCGTTGTTTTAATAGCTCAGGTATCAACAAGTGAGGGCAACTATGGATAGTTTTGTACAGTCTTGTAACCATTTATGCTCTCCTGTACTGAATTATGAATGAGAGTATAAAGTGATATACAATGGTGAATGCTAAATTTGAAAACCTCCATCATGCAGTGAAGTGTCAAGGGACTTTATGCGCTATAACGTTTGTATTCCAGATGGATGACACATGCAGCACCAATGAGGCTGACTCTTTGAATGTTGAAGTCAATGTGGAACTGGAGAAACAGAAGTTCCAACTTCTAGCACAACTTGATGAGGTGTTAGGATTGCCGCCACCCAGTTCCTGTGATATAGTGTTGGCTGAGGAGGAGGATCAATCTGCACAACAATTGGTGAAACTGAAACTGGAGAGGAGTTCAGGTTCTAATAGCAAAAATGAACTATTTGATGAAAAAGAAAGGAGTTTAGAGATTAGCTCTTCAATGATACCCGGGGAAAAGTTGCAGAAAGGTGTAGGAAATAGTAGCAGTTTAAAGGCAGCTGAAACAAGTCCTTCTAAAGTTACCTATTTAGAATATGATAAAGGAAGAAATACAGGAATAGAGATAGAAGCCGGTAATGAAGAGGCGGTGCAAGAAGAGGAAGGCTACAGCCACCAGCCATTAATGACATATAACTTTACTTCTCCGATGATGGCACTAAATTATGAAGAGGAGTTCAGTATCCCAGAGGATAACTTCACTAAAGGTTGTAAATGGTTAGTTTTAAACATTGATTTTATACACGATCAGTTGAAGTGAGTTTTATTATTGTTTTAAAGCTTATAGATTTGTTGGTGTCTAAAGTGAGTTGCCTAGTCCCAACTCGCTTATGAAGTGAAATATCCAGGTTCAGTCCTTTAATCCTCCTTGATGTGAATAAATTAAAAAATCATAGTACAGTACTTACAATCTGTTGTCGTGTTTTCTTTAAAGGTCACCAGATGGCTCCTGTCTCCTGGTTGGGAGTGATGATAAAAAATTGCGCCTTCTGAATCTACCAACACCAGTCATTCAGGGAGACTTTCAGAGTAAGGATTTTTTGTCTGATATATTGTACGAGTGATATAGATTATTTATAGCAGTGATGACAAAGTATTGAGCTGTATATAGTAAAGAGAATTTTACACAATGGTTGGAACACAGACCAACAGACAAGTCCTTTTATTATTATAGTACTGTATATACAGAACTGCTACATTCTAATGACTGTATCAGTTAATGCTCCCTCAATACATGTATTTTCTTGTACAATACATTATGGCTAGTACAGTACGGTATATACCATTTCTGGAAATTACTGTATCATGTCTTCTTGAGATTCTCACCTCTCTCTGTAGTGTTCTCCAAACTGTACTATTTACTGAATCTTTACTTCATAAAATTGTGAGAAATATTGGAAATCATGTTATCATTCAACTTGTTTCACTGGTATAATTCATCTTTCTTATTTTATCTTGGATCTAAAACCAGCCATGCAGTTTATTGTTACTTTTACTGTATTAATGGGATGTTCTTCTCTAAATGTCTGCCTTTCTTTATGTTTGTTTGTTGTGAGTGTCAAGGACAGGATTGGTGTTAAGTTAAGCTGAGTAGAATATGTATAGGTCATGCCAGAGCTTTAGAGGGGCAGGATAAGGTACCTCTCTTGTTTGATGGTTCAGCTGTAGAATGAATCTTTTAACATTTCTTGATGGTCTGTCTTGTTTATAATTTTAAAACTGGATTTATGGTTACAGGAGAATCATGGTTTATGGGGGAGTGTGAACAATACTCAAAGGCTGCTATCACCATCCAAGAGAAGGAATTATTATACGATTACACATGGTATCCTCTCATGCAGTCCAGTGATTCTCGCACATGCTGGTAGGTGTAATGACCCTCTCTTGCTTACATCCTTTTATTGATATTATTATTATTACAGTATTATTATTATTATTATTATTATTATTATTATTATTATTATTATTATTATTATATACAATACACAACACTTGCATTAATTCAGGGATTATATTATGTTCTGGCTGTTCTTCTCAGTCTTTATTGAGATTTGTAAAAATGATTGAAACACTGGATATTCTTCGTGCTTATATTTCAGTTTTGCCTCGACGTGTAGAGATCAACCAGTCCACTTATGGGATGCATGGACTGGTTGCCTCATCTGTAGTTATCATTCATATGACCAGTAAGTACAGTACTAGATTAGCAAGATTTAGTCCATTATTAAATGCTTTTTATATGGATGTACAGTCACCCATAAGAGTCTTTTTGTGTCTCCTCCCGAACCACAAATCCTGAGAACGAGACTCGTGAATCTGAAGCATTTATGGACAGAATGATGCATCAGTGTCTACTGCTTAGGGTTCACAAGTCTAAATCTCGGGATTCGCGAAATGGCAGGAGAGACGATAGGACTATTGTGGGTGACTGTACATTTGGGAAACTCATTTATCATATTATTTAGTTCAATTTTGGGACTATAACAATTATGTGTGTGTCTAAGGTTAAGAAAACTCCAAACTTCAGCCATTTTAACTGGGGCAAGAATGATTTTAATTTGATGCTAATTGTATGTTGTGTGTAAACCATCTTGGTGTTAATGCTTCATTGCATTACTCCACTTTTACTGATTAAAACCATTACATGTACAGTATTGTACCTTGATCCTCCTCGTGTTACAAGATGTCCCAGCTTATCATTGGAAACTGATTCTTTTACAGAACATAAATAATTTTTCCTGTAATAGAATAGGGGAATGTGCTTCTGTTTTGTTTGTTTTTTCTCAAGCAGCATCATACCATCTTAGGAATTCCAGTTTTGTTTCTTTTCTAATTATTTTTCTTGTCTTCTTGATACTAGGCATTGTACTGAAACTTGAACTACACATTTTGGAGACATGATGTTGGGGTATACTGTTTAATGCTTTAGATGCACTGAACAGCAAAGAATCTTATGTTTTGCCTTTAAGCACAAGCATAAGCATGGATGTGTAAACAAGGACTTAGGTGGAAACACTGCATGTTTGTGCACTCTGTGTCACAAAGTAGGTACATGCTGACCGAAGATGGCCAATGACATAAAAAGCAAACTTCTTGATGCCAAACGGATATCGTCTCTAGTTCATTAGCAACTTAATTATGAAAGAACAGTAAACAGGGTGACTCCTGTATTTTAAATTCCTTATTTCACACCCTGTCAACCTTTTTTTATTTTTTTTAAGTTTCGTTAACTTGACACAGAAATTTCATTTCATAACTGGCATATAAGGGCAGTACAGTATTATGGTGGAAGCTACAGTATTATTTAGTCCTGGTGTTTCCTGTACCCTAACTTTCATTTTCCTATTGCTTAATAGATTCCCAGTGGGACATAACACCCATGTAGAAATGAAGATTTACTGTAGTAACTTTGTCAGAAAAGGTTGAAATAAACAGTAAGAGTAAATGTGAGATGGCAGGTTAAGATGTTAGCAGCTTTCTTGTACTGCACTTTTTATTCCCTAATAAGGCACAAGACTTGCTCTGCTTCATTGCCCCTATTGTACCAGTTTAAGGCTCAAGGTCTGATGTCATTTTGTGTACATGTGTGCATTGTTGATGTGATTCACCAAGAAGAAGAAAGAAAAGATGAAATTTACAGAGATGTGCAAAGATTGTGATGTAAGAATAATATTGTTCTGGGGTCATCATGTTAGGTGTGTAGGGAGAATAAATATAATTTACGGTACAGTATAGTGTGTCAAATTATTCTCTTAAGATTACATTGACTTACTTATGTTCGATTTGTATTTAACAGTCTTGACCAGGTGGTAGCAGCTTACTGTGTTGGGTTTAATGAGGATGGATCACAACTTCTCTGTGGCTTCAACAAGTGTATTCGTGTTTTCGACACCAATCGGCCCGGCAGATACTTTAGCAAAATAGAAAGTGCGTGGGTAGCCTGGAATAAGCTCTGTATAATTCTGTGTACTATAAATATGTAACTATCTCATTTGTTTGTGGTTGTCCTGTGTAATGTTTCACTTTAGTAAATTTAATTATGTTTAATTTCTTCACAGTACCTTCAGTTTGGTTGACTTGTGTAATATAATGTCATAGTAATTTTTGGTTAACTTTTATATCATGAATCATCTTACTGTGGTTGACTTGTGAATAGTTTATCCTGGTAACTAGTAATGGATATTTTATGGAGTACGCTTTGTGTCTAGTGTAGAATTTTATATCATCTGATCTCTCGCAGTCAGATTTCCTTTGGCATTATTTAGAGCTGCTATTGTACCTCAGACAGCATGCTCATTTCAGTCATAATCTCCTGTTCTCAGTTTTCAATTATATTTTTGTCTTTTAAGTAAAAATATTGTATAAAGTAACTGATTTTGAGAGAGTTTTCTAAATGCAGTAATTTCTGTACCTTGCATGGATTAACTTGCCACAAATATTTCTTTCACTGATTGTATAAATGCAGCCCTTCTTTTTATAAATCATTTCATCTCATACCTTTCACGTTTAACCCTGAGATAAATCATGAAGATCGGTCCACAGACAATGAATTGATGCTTATTGCAAAGAAAACTAGAAATTAAAATACTCACACTGATGGAGCATCTTTTAAACAATACACCAGGAAAGTATATAAGATAGAACTAAATACTGTACTGTACAATAAACCCTTGATTGATAGTGGTTAGGCTCCTGGAAAACTCTGCACAAAGTAAATCCATGTAAACAGAATACTACTGTACCTTGGTTACATGGGAAATAGGGGGGTCGGTTTCAGACTCGTTTGGTCCTCATGGCTGACTACAGGAAAGGTTGGTGTTATTAGGTGGTTAATATATGTAGACATAACATATGACAGTATAGATAAATGTCCCCCATCATTCCAATTCTCTTCTAAAGATGCTTTTCTTTGTATTTTCATTGTATTTTACAAGAAGTAACCTTTCTATTGATACCTCACTTGCCAATCTAAAACTAAGAACAAAAATATCTTTATCAAAACAAGGAAGGTCAACTGTTGAAATTTACTCCCACATGAGAGACATCATCATCATTGTTGTGTGTTAGTCATGATTTCCTTGTGGCATAGTGTTCCAGTTACCATCTGGCAAATTTAAAGCAGGTTTTACAGCTCGATACCCTTGCTATTGCCAACCCACTTTGACAAGAACTAACTTTTGTTATTTTTATTCCAGGTCAGTCAGGTATAATCTCATGCTTGGCCTTTAACCCACCGTTGCCAAGTGTCTTTGCTGCTGGCACTTACCTCGGCACTATAGGTCAGTGAACAGTGTTTTCAAGGGTTTTTAAATTTTACAGATGTGTTTTCAGTTACCACACATTTATCACAGGTGTTCAGACACCACAGATTTTTACAAGTTTTCTGATACTGAAGATTATTCACATGTTTTCAGGCCACCAAGAATACCTGTATGTTACAAGCTTTTAGGCCACAAAATGTTTACATTTTTAGACACCACAAATGTTTTACATGCAATACTTTTAGACATCCCCATCATGCTGTAGAATAAGGCGGATATTTTCAGGATTCTAAATAAGACTTCATTTACAATGATAAATTATATCTATTTTGGAAATTAATTTATGTAAATAAGACTTTGTAAAAGAATTTTGTTTGTAAATTGATTGAATTAAGCAGGCTTCTCTATACCTGACAGCTACCATTAGTAATGTGAATATTTTCTCTCATAATTGGCAGGCCTTTATAATCTAAATGGCAATAATCATTTTTGCCAGTTAGAGGGATGCCCATCTGGGGTTACCCATGTCCAGTTTTCTGCAGATGGTACAAAACTTTTCTCAGGAACCCGAAAGGTAACTTATATTTGTGTGTGAGTTCAGGCATGTGTGATTTTTTTTAGCTGATGCAAACTTGTGATGATTTTTATATAATCCATATTCACAATGTCCACATTTAGCCTCTAGAAATATTAAAGTAAGGTAGCTAGCATTTAATGAGAGCATTAGCTCACTCCCCCACAATACCCAGAACATTCTAAAAGGGAGATTAGAAGCTGGTGCTGCCTCAGACTGCAGAGAGATTACTGTATTAACTTGTTTGTTCACCTCCATTTTATGATTTAGTTAATTATAAATTTAATCATGCAATTTTTTATTTCAAAAGTCTGGGTAGCTGTGTTGTGCTGATATTCTCTTGTTTTATTTTTCCTTCTAGAATAATGAAATTTGGTGCTGGGACATGAGAAATCCTGGAAAGCTATTATGTGCCTATGAACGAGAAGTTTCAACTAACCAAAGAATATATTTTGACTTGGAACCACAGCATAGTAGATTTCTAATATCAGGTAAGCATTAAGTTTATCTCTTAGAAAAAGACAATATGCTATTTTTCCCATAATGTGCACTATTTGTAGAGCAAGTGGGTTATCATTCTCTCTCTAGCTGCATACTGCATAGCTGTCCATAGTCATCTGCACCATTGATACAGAGAGAGTATGAACCTAACCTAAACTAACCATGCTCAGTTTAAGATAGGATTAGTTCCTCATTTTTCTCTCTTACAATTTACCATAATCTACTGGCATTGAGGGAAAAGGCCTTAGTGGCTATTTCACCATTTGAACAATCGTGTCTGCAGTAGTGCTTTGTGATGACCTATCATAACAGTTCTAGTTGTGTAGGTACAAGGTATCCAATAATTTAAAATTATAGTATATTATGGTTCCCCACATTTGCTTTTTTGGAAATCCTTATATTATTATTATTATTATTATTATTATTATTATTATTATTATTATTATTATTATTCAGTGTTTGAGAATATTTACAAAATTAAGTTGGGATTAACTTGTGACAGGAAATACCAAAGGTGAAGTGTTAAAATGGGATCTGGAGGAACACGGTATCAATGAAACTACGAAGTATGGATACACCCATATTGTCCATCAGCCTTCATCATCTTTCACTGCCCACAGAGACTGCACCAATGGAATAAGGTATGTAATGGCTGGATAAGTTAACACAAATTGTACAAGGATAGATTCAGTAAAGTCATTGTCAGATTTTTGTCCAGCCATCACATTGAAACTTATGGAATCCTAATCCACATTCCAACAATCATCAGCTTGAATAAGACATTGAAACTTAAGTCTATGTTGGTAGATCTTCATCATCTATATCAGAAATGTGTTTGTTACAATCACCCTCAGCCTTGACTAGAGACAAAAGATAAGTAAAATGTCTTAGAGGAGTGTATGAACAAGAAAGGCGTTTGCATGCTGTATATGATGTGTCGAATTGTCAGGAAATAGGTTATAAAATATCTGTTAACGCTCATAGGAGCGTTATTGGTTTGTTGCTGGAGAAATAAACCCTCAACGTTGACTCGTACCATATAATTCGGTCAAAACCTGTCAAAGAACAATTCACATATAACAAATGCTGTTATCTCAGGACACAGTATGAATAATACAATCAATATACAGTACATAGCCTGTTAATATCTTAAATATAACTCATGTTACATCTGTTGATACTATAATGAGACAGAACACAATGAGAGGAGATGATTACACATATAAGTAAGAATAGAGAGTAAAGATAGGAAACTTGGTAGCGTGGCCAGGATGTTATTTACTCAGCGTCAATAAGCTTATCTTATCTCGTATGTCAATACACATATATTACTTCTTAAAGGGACAACTTGTTAAACACCTCTTCGATACAACTATTTATTAATTCACTCAGTGACATGGACACATTAATATCACTATTATATCGGGGTACTAACACATTATGTTTTACGTTACTCGACACTGACTCTCGGACACACCTGAATGAATACACTTCCCACAGTAGGTAACTCACTCTAGGAATCGTTCTGATAAGACTCACGTGTACCCTGACGTAGGCCCAGTGGATGCTTGGCTGGGCTGCCTCCTATGGGAGGCTTCTGCTTAGCTGGGGTCTGGTCGGGAAGTCCCCCTCCCGACCTGGGGAGAGGACAAGCATGACTCTGAGAATCTCCAGAGTAATGTTCGAATGTTCGAATGGCAACCAGAATCAGAATGATAATCCCAATGGAATGATAATTATGATGATAATGCCCGTGGACGGGACTGTAGGGCCTTTATATGGGGTCGGCCCAGCTGGCTTCTGACCTCTAACCAATTATCACTAAACTGGTTTGATCTGGATAGCTGTGTGCAGGTGTGGTCCTGCCCAGGTGTCTTGGTTAGGTGAGGTTGTAGGTCACCCGGCTAACTCAGTCATTAGCGGGCGAGGTCAAGTCCCTAGGGTCGACCTGAGGTGTGTCAACCCGGAATGTGGTGGTACCATGAGGTCTGTAGTGTACTTGCTGTTATATGTGACATAATTCTGGGCTGTAAGCTTTGGTCTGACAATCAATAATTACAATACATCAGGAGACAAGTTGTATAATATCAAATTACAGCACATAAATATACTTATTAAAGTTATTTAGAGTTTGTATTTACGTTTTAGGGTCTTGGGTTTGACCAGCTTGTTGTTTTTTCTGCAAGAATTGGTAGACTACTGTGAGCAATTGCCACCCAATCGCAGCCCGAGGCGAGGGCCATCTGTTTCATATTAGACACGTCAACAAACACGTTGTCAGCACTGCCTCTCTTCTCACCCTCTCTCTCTCTCTCCTGTTTATCTTACTGTGGTGGTAACAGTACCGGTAGACATATTTGGCTTTTAAGATAATCAGATGTTTATTATATTATTTTCCAACTAACTACCAAAAACTATGATAATGTAACTGGATGATTAAAGTCAATTAAAGTCAGCGAAACAATTAATTGGCAATTTAAAATTTTTGGCAGGTCTTATTATCAGGTTAGGTTAGGTTATGTGAAGAAAAAAAGGATTGTATGCTGCTATTAGAAATAGGAGAGGCATACAGTCAACCCTCACTTTACGCGGTCCCCTGCCGAAACAGGAATGCTCACATTCCGCGGTGCATGTACCCCTTTACGCGGAGAGCGGCTGGCAAGCCGCGCCATTTTTTGATCCAAACCTCCCGCCATCTCTCCCTCCCTCTCCCGTCATCCGCCATGTTGTGTAAGCGGCGCGAGCATGGTGTGCACAAGGTCGCCCAGTCGTCAAAACATTACCGAGTTCTTCACCCGCCACCCACCACAGCCGGCCCAAGTCAGTGATAGTGATAATTATAGTGAGGATATGGACTTATATGGACTTTGAGGGGTTTGACAAAGAGGCCCTGCAAGCCTCTGTGGTGGATAGTGATACAAGTGATACAGGTGAGGGCCAATTAATCTGCCCTCTGCCTCGGAACCAACCGCCCATCCCCGTGTGCCCAGCCATCTTTTCTACTAATGTAAGTGTTAAAAAACCTAATATTATTGATATTTCTCTTAATTATTAATTGTGTGTGCATACCATCATAAAGTTAGGATAATATTTTTACTACAACATAGTTGTGTGTTGTCAAAAAGTGGAGTTTGGGGGTCGGCCCGGTCTCTATTTCAATTAATCCCATATGTTATGTTGTTCACTTTACGTGTTTCTCACTTTCCGCGGTACCCTGTGGGTTGAATTAACTGCGTAAAGTGAGGGTTGACTGTACATTATAAATAAGTATTTTCTCATGATATCTTGTTAATTTTATTTTTGTCATTAATTTAGTGATTTTTTTCCCCTCTTGCAGCATAAATCCATATTGTCCCATCATAGCCACTAGTTCTGGACAGCGACATTTTCCAGAACCAGTATCAGAATATGAATCGGATTCCAGTTCTGAAAGTGATGTCCCAAAACCATTGTTTACCCGTCAAAAGATAGTCCGAGAGAGTACAGTCAAGTTGTGGTGGATTCGAGGATTTTGATGTATAAGTGACCCTACGTTATGAAATTCCCAGGCTAAGGAGAAACTCATATACTGTACAGGTAATGACTTATGTTGTAATTCGTGCCAGCCTGTAAAGCAGTTGCTACTGCACTAAATTATGAAAAGTTCAAATACTTCTAATTTCAGAGTAGCCAAGCTAAAATTTGCTCCTAGTCAACTTACAAAGGAGTTTCATTATTTTTTTGGTTTAATAATAAGAATAAAATTTCTTTCTTTAGATGTTACCGGGAATTTACGTAACCAGTGATTTCACGCAATCCCTAAAATTCCTAGGGATTTCAATAAATCCCTGGTTTGAAGGGCCGGGGATTTCACGTAATTACATGAACTTACTAAAATTTTTAGGGATTTCTTGAAATCACTGGTTACACAAATTTTTTTGGTAACATTTATACATGTGTATATATACTGTACAGTGGTCCCTCGGTTAACGAATTACCTTCCATAAGAATCTTCACTTAGGTTAACGAATTCCTTACGAATTTTTCCCAACATGTTTTCGCTTGCTTTCGGCTGCTCACCAGCTGTAGTATTAGTCCGCCAATACAGTAATCGGTTCTAGGGCTTAAATTCGTTACCATTTGAGTAAATATCAAGAAGGTTGTACTATTCAATAATTTTAAAAGTTTTATATTAAATTTTTTAGTCATTTTAACAATTATTGAATATAATTGAAGTACGGGAAACTAGTTTTTAGCTCGCCAAGCAGTCACTCAACACACCAAGCTTAGCGTCAGTTTGTGTATCCGTTCAGTGGAGGGAACATCTTGTTTGAGACTCTTGAACATAAACTCTTTTTCATGGAAGGTGACTCACCTTCCAAGAAACGGTAAAATCCTTCTCCTCCACCCCCATTTCCTTCTCTTCTCCCTTCTCCTCCTCCACCTCCCACTTCAAATTCACATCAGCATCATCATCCAGGAGCCTTCTACATACACACCGAAAAGTAAGTGTACTTTACTGCATTTTTTTTTTTGTACTTTAGGTAATTTTCCGTGAGCTGGAACCAATTAACCAAAAACCCATTGAAACAATGGTTTCGGTTAACGAACAACCTTCTGGAACGAATTGTGTTCGTTAACCGAGGGACCACTGTATACTGTTGTTGGCGTCCCCTCCTCCTCTAACATGGATGATTTGAACTGGTGGAGGTTATATGCTATTGGAAAAACATTTTGTTGCTATGTTTCTGAGTCTTAGTCCTGGGTATAAATAAATTTTGGTAAGCAGAGGTTCTTGGGTGGAATATCAAGGGCCCTGTAGGCTAATGAACCAGGTTTGGGGATGGTGAGTACATATTATACACATACATTGTATTTCATTGTGTAGTCTAACTTATTAATACAGAATAGGGTCATTGGTACCTTGGTTGTAACAAAATGTTTTGTGTATGAGATAATTTGTGTTTATGGGAGTCCAGACATAAATATTGTATTGTACAGAACATACATAAAACTTATGGTTCATGATCCTAACGGTCCAGTGCCACCCATGTGATGTCATTCTTTAGTTTTTAAGATTCTCATGTTTGCTGAACTGTTATCCAAAGGTGTGCAAAGTATATATTTTGTATTCTACTTGTGTAAGAGGGCGAGATATTTAACCCCTACACTATGGGATAGCCACTTAATATTTTATTTGGCTAACACCAGATGCTTTTAGTCAGTTCAGAGGGCACCTGTACGGCATTACTTCTTCAGTGATCACCCTGTTGCCTCCTGGACTTGAGTGGCCCCCTTCATTGAGGAAATGTGGATCCACCAGTGTACCTTGTTATATACAGAACCCCACACAATGATTTTAAAAAAAAGCGAGATTAATGCATTTTAAAATTTTTCTTTAGGAACAGTAATCCTCAAATTGCAAAATTTTGTGGGTTTTGGTATGTTGTTTTGCCATAAGTCAACCATGGTAGACTGCAGTAATCTCCCTGTTAGCCGGAATCTTCCATTACAGTGGGGTATGCTATAACGAACGGATCCTACTACGAATATTCCTATAACGAACGGTTTTACCTATAAAATTGAGAATGTTATAACGAACGCAACTCCTACAACAAACGCGGATGAATACGGGACTATTTTGTCTGGCGCATGAATATTGTTGCACCGCGACCCACAACAAGAGCATCAGGTGCCATCTTTGTCTCATTGTGTAGCCAGTGCACCACTGTTATTGTTGAAATTTCGTCTTTTGATGTAGAAATACGAGTTATTTGTATAAATATTTTGTTATACAAGTGTACAATTGTAACAATGAATCGTCCAAAGCGAGTGAGAAAGCTCATAACCCTTGAAACTAAGAAAGAAATCATAAAGAAACATGAGAATGGAACAAGCATTGCGAAACTTAGTGATGAGTATGGGATGGCTAAATCGACTATATGTACGATTTTGAAGAATAAAGAGGAGTTGAAAACTGTGCAAGTGGCTAAGGGAATCTCTAGACTTAGCAAAGCAAGGTGTAATGTGATTGAGGAGACGGAAAATTTACTCTTAGTGTGGATAAAGGAGAAAGAAATGGCAGGTGATAGCATTAGTGAAGCTATAATTTGTGAGAAGGCCAGACAATTGTTTGAGGACCTTAAAGCCAAGACTCCCAGTGGAAGTGATAGTGATGTGCCAGTGTTTAGCGGTACCAAGGGGTGGTTTACTGGTTTCAGGAGAAATAAATTACATAGTGTTGTGAGACATGGTGACGCTGCTAGCGCAGATAAGCAAGCAGTTAAGGAACACCATGAAATTTTTTTGAATGTGATTAAAAAGGGAGGCTTTGTTTCTCAGCAGGTATTCAACTGTGATGAAACTGGACTTTTTTGGAAAAAAATGCCTCGCCGTACATACATTACAAGGGAGGAAACTTCTGTCCCTGGCCATAGGCCAATGAAAGACAGGCTTACCCTCCTTCTTTGTTCTAGTGCTTCTGGTGACTGCAAAATAAAACCACTCCTTGTGTACCATGCAGAAAATCCCAGAGCTTTCAAAAACATGAGGAAGAACCGCCTTGGTGTTAAGTGGCGGTCAAATCCAAAGGCTTGGGTGACCAGGAATCTTTTCTCTGAGTGGGTGATTGAGGTGTTTGGACCCAGTGTTCAGGAATACCTCAGGGAGAATAATCTTCCACTGAAAGCTTTGTTGGTGATGGACAATGCACCAGCCCACCCTCCTAATTTGATGGTTGAATTGCCAGAGGAGTTCAACTTCATCACTGTGCACTTCTTGCCACCCAACACAACACCTCTCATCCAGCCCATGGATCAACAGGTAATTTCTAACTTTAAGAAGCTGTACACAAAGGCACTATTTAGAAAATGTTTTGCGTCCACTTCTTCCAGTGATGTTAGTTTGAAGGAATTTTGGAAGAGTCACTTCAATATAGCAGACGCTGTGTTTTTAATTTCGTCAGCCTGGAAAGAGGTTACTATGAGGTGTCTTTGTGCTGCTTGGAGGCCATTGTGGCCTGAATGAGTGTTTCAAAGAGACTTTGAAGGCTTCGAAGAGTTAGAGGAAGAGGCTGTTGTACATGAAATTGTGTCTCTGGGCAATTCCATGGGCCTGGAAGTGGATGATGATGATGTTGAGGAGTTGGTGGAAGAGCACAGTAAGGAGCTGTCCACTGAGGAGCTGCTTGAGCTTCACAAAGGGGAAAATGAGACACTGAAGCGGAGCTTAACTTCTGAGGAGTCAGGGGAGGATGAGGACAAGGAGGAAAGCTGCATCATTCCAGCCAAAGATCTCAAGGATGTGTTCTTTTGCTGGAGCAAACTGTCTAAGCTTGCTGAGGATTATCATCCTGATGTTGGTTCTGTGGAAAAGGCCATCAGTGTGTTTAATGACAATGTGATGAACCACTTTTGGAAGGTCCAGAAATCAAGGTTGAAGCAGCCAACCCTGGATTCTTTCTTAAAAAAAGTTGCAAAGACCCTACAGACAAAATGCCTGTAAGACAGTCACCAAAGAGGGCTAGGAAGGATGACTCCTCTCCTTCCACCTCTTCTCCGTAATTCTCTCCTCCCCCTATGCCTCCTGTCCTGCATGCTGAACAACACTAAGGTGAGATAAGGTACCGTATTTTTTACATTTTCCACAGAAAATTTTCAGTGTTAAGTGGTTGTATTTGGGGGCCTGGGACGGATTAATCCTATAACGAACAAGGTTCTAGAACCAATTAGATTCGTTATAGCATACCCCACTACCTGGAAAATAAAATTTTAGCATTCCAAGAAAATCTGAGAAAAATCTCCGTCCCGTGCTTTTCATCGAATTTCGGAGCAATTTTATCATGCTGAGCACAGGGGTGGGTAGGTTCAGAGCTGTGATTGGTTACTACTGTAATGTGACACAAATCTTGGGAATAAATTATTTAAAAATTTTAAGAACAAAAGTATCTTGCTCTCATGAGTGTCATTTATTATTGTTGTGGTTCCATCAGGCCAGCCTGCATCACAACATAGCTACTCCGTGCTCAGTCATAATTATAGGAAAAGATAAAAAATTTATTTTCAGTACTGTATATTTTTTTTTAAATAAAAATGACTTATTGATAATTATATTTTATTAAAAACAACATTCACCAAGGCCAGACAATGGAGGGAGGAGGGACTGGCAGCCTGCATAAATAAATATTACTTTGTGGCTGTCCAACTGCAGTTAAGTCTCCATGACAATGGTACTCTGTGCCAGATGTGTAGTTTAGATGTGGAAACTTTAGCCAAAGCTCAGAAAATTCCGTAGATGTGCAATTTTTTCAGGGGATAAGAAGCGTCATCTCCATAACCGGAAGCATTCCACACCAATTATTCTGGTTAATGGGCAGATTACTGACCCTAATTTTGGGGGGAGGTTTTTATCATTTTACTGTTTTTGAAGGTCCTCAGAATTGCACAAATTAGGGATTTTATGCCAACTATACCTCCATTAATTTACTTGACTCCATACAAAGATGCTTTGTTACTGTCTACAGACAGCGGCATAAATTGATTTATAGTTTTTATCTTTTTGAGCATTTTACAGGGGTCAGTGGTCACTATTAAAGAAAAAAGTAGAACTGAATGGGGGAGACATTGTTTTGGCTTACAATATAATGGCTTCTGAAATATATATACAGTATATTGAGCCTTATTATTTCTAACAATGAAAATATATACTGGTTTGAAGGAAGAAGTATTTAAAAATGTTTTATTTCATAAAGAACACAAGGAAATTCAACAATGAGTTGTAAAAAACACTGTTGAAAACCCAATCTGTAGAATATATATATATATATATATATATATATATATATATATATATATATATATATATATATATATATATATATATATATATATATATATATATATATATATATATATATATATATAATTTTTTTTTTTTTTTTTTACAAGTTTTTCTTTATATCAAATACACTATTCTCTCTATTCATGGGTATGGTATCTCTCCTGATGACATTTTCAGTGGCCATATGAATAACGTTGTGTACAGCTCCTAAAGGATCTTCTTTGTAAATCATAAAGTGACCTTGGACTGCTGCTGCACTCAGTGGAACTCCCAAGTTTCCTGAAGCCTGGAAGAAGTAACATAAATAACAGTTCATTGAGTTCTGATGACTTTCTCTAGTGTATCTTTCACTCCATTCTTATTTGCTTCTGCCTCTTGCATCCCAAGTCAAGTTTCACACCCAAAAAGATTCCCTCGTACATCTCTATCTTTGCTTCGGGCACACACAGTTATTCTCTCTCGCCACTTTCTCGTCATCTTCCGGAGTCTAAAACTTTCTCTTACACAGCCATTATCATCTACAAGGTCTAAATCTACATTTCTTGCTCCATTTAAAAGTACTTTTTAATAATTTTTATCTTTGGTTCACACACACTTAACAAATCTGTTTCCTGCCACAAAGAATGAGATGAATATTAGTTTCTTCCTGTTACTTTACTAATTCCATTCACATTCCAGTCTACTGTATATCCAAACTCACATAATTTGCTACTGACATCTAAATTCTTAGTGGATATCAGAGTTAACTTGGTTGTGTAAAACTAATATTAAGAACTACAGGGTTACTAACTTGTGAGAAGGTTGAAGCTAGACCAGAAACATCAGGATAAAAGTTGCAGAACATTGTCTCCAACTGGTGAGTTGTGCAGTATCCAATATACTCCTTCATGTCTACTCGGCCTGGGCGTATCAATGCTGGGTCAAGTCTGAAACAAACGTGCAGTAGTTGTACTTTTAATGTCTAAGCTTAGAATTCTGACTAGATCTATTGCTGAAGTTTTCTGGGATATTCAAGAAGGCGATAGAAAGCTTTACTCATCCAACGTAAATGGTTAATCAGACATTTTTCGAGTACTGTCCTGGACTTTGTTCAACTCAGGGTATTTCCTTGCAGCTCTATGACATTTAAATCATAGTATGGTTTGTATATCAGCTGAATATAGGTTTATGTCTTATAACAACTTATGAACAGCTCACCTTTCAGGATAATTTGTTGTCAGGAACATCATTCTTGCTTCTGTTGATGCAACACCATCAAGACAGTTCAGAAGTCCACTAAAGGTCAACCGATTGAGGCCAGCGTATGCAGCTTTCACTGAGAGAAGATTTGGTTCTCATTAATAACCATGTGATATTTACAAGAAAATTACAATGCATTAGTGTCAAGTCGTCAGTAGCTAGTTAAAGTATGTGATGGACTTTGGTGAAGTACAATCGGCCTAAGAAGCGATATCACTGTTTTCAGTATGATTCGTTCAAATAGTGGTGTCTGGCAACTTGGCGGGAGCCGAGCGAGTGACTGGCTACTAACCAGAGCGCTGGAATTTAAAGGAAAAGGTATGTAATAAAAACATTTTTAAGGTGGTGAATGATGAATGCCAGTTTGATCAAGTAAGTTTGAGGAGTGTAGGCCTAAATGGGGTAAAAACAATGGTAATAATTACAGAAATAACAGTAGAAATGAGTGTAGAGGTCTACATTAGTGAGTACTGATCAGCTACTCAGTTCTTGTATAGAAATAAACTGTACATGCATAAGTGTATCGAAACAAACTGATCTGCTTATGTTATAAATGACATTTACTTTAGGGAATGTACAGTAGTTCAGTGATAAAGTAATTCTTAATGCCATCTTTCTCACAAGACAATAAACAATATATGAAGGGGCAAAGATGGTGTTACTATACAGTCTCTCCTTGACTTACGACAACCCGGACATTCGACGACCATGGTCGTATAAAATATTTTTCACATTACATATTTTTGAGTCCCGACGTTAGTGATCGCGCTGTGTACTGACAAAATTTTCATTTGTAATTCCCTTTAAAATGGCTGGCAAGCATAAAAGTGAGAGTTCTCGTGGTGCTGAGAAGAAAAAGAGACACCCGTTTTAGAATTTCTATGTATTATTTTCGCCTTTCGACCTGGTCGTCGGGACGGACCCCCGTCGTAAGTCGAGGAGAGACTGTATTTCACACAGAGTCATTACTTACTATCTGCAGTTTCTTCTCTGCTAGCAAAAGCTGAATCAACATCCTCCAGTAGAATGATAGTGTTCTGTAAAGACGAAATATCTTCAATCTTTCACATCTCGGCATAAATATAAGAACTTTAATCTGACAAGTGACATCTATCTATTCATATGGCAGGTTCGTGGAGGAAAAAATCCCAGTGATCTTTTTTTATTCTGATAGAATTTAGGAGATATGTAGGAATATATGGGAATGAGAGGTCACCGGGAGTTCTGGCTGATGAGATAGAGGTCACTGAAGTTTTACTTGAACCTGGTCATATGATAAAACTCCTAAAAATTATCACTTACTGGCTTGAAATACATAACAAATTGTACAACTTGTATCATTAACACTGTACAATACAGTAAGGGAACAGATTGAAGGGGATGCAGATGACTGGCATAAAAATAAAGTATTGTACTACAGTACTGTACTAACATTGAGATAAAATCTGGATAAGTGAAATCTAGATAAACAATGAATTACTCTTGGTAACTAGATGAAAGCAGCATGTCAGTAAATACAGTAATTTAATCCACAAACCTCAGGTGCCAGAGCCAACAAATGGTTAAGTCTGTCATCAGTAAGGCCTCGCTCACTGAGGTTTAGAACACAAATGCCAAGTTGTAATTCTCCAGCCAGAGCAGTTATAAAAGAGCTCTTGCCACACCCAGGAGGACCATGAAGTAAATAACCACGCCTATAGGGGATTCCTGAGGAAACACAATATCGTTTAAGAAGGTCATATTTAGTAAGCTCTAGATGTTAACTATTAAAAATTTGCTTACTCATTTATAAAATTATAGCATAAAGAAATGAATGACTGTACAGTGTACATGCAGCATGCATACTTGTACATACACATATACAATAGCTATTTTCATTTTTGTTTTCTTGTTTTTGCTGTTACTGTTGTTTTTACTCATTTATTCTCTCCCTCCCTACACACCTTGTGCTATCAATAATATTACTCTACTCTGTGAATTTTAAATGTACTGGGTGTTTAACTTAATAACAATGAAAGATCATCAGCATCATCTTTACTATTTTATGGCCATTTTCCAACCGTGTGGGTTAGCTGTGATTACCTGATGGCATACTACCCCTGGATGCCACCAGGGAAATTTGAAGCAAGGTTTAAAGCTGTCCCAATACATGACTGTGTATATACTTGTGTCAAAATATGTACTCTTAGTAAGAGTAAATAGTTGGGAGTTTGTTGTGTTTGTGCCAGAACAAGTACTAAGTTACAGTATTGTGTGTACAGTACTGTGTGTGAGAAATGGGAAATTGAAGAACTATGTTTGTCTTACCTCTGTCAGAGTACCATTTAGGATTATCCATAAACTCCTTAACATCTTTTACAATCTTATTAGAGACTCCCTCATCAAGTACAACAGAGGTGAGTGGGCGAGGTTTTCGAGGATTGCCAAACTGCCGCCACTCTGAGCCATAGGCAGTGTACATTATGGTCTTCCCTTCATTTTGCTTTACTGCCAAATCACGAGCTGTCAAGAAATGGAAAATTTCAATATAAACCACACCTACTGGAAGTTTCCTCTTGGAAGGAATGAGTAACCATGGAAGAGTCACTGACAAATAATAAAGAAGAACAGGTATCGATATAGAGACTAAAATGCCACTGATAAATCAATTTATAGTCTTAAATACTGTACTGTAATTATGAAACGTATATTTTCACAAAGATAAGCTGATTGACAAACTGGAGGTGGTGGCCCTGAAATAAAATGGGTAGCTAACCAAACACTTTAGTGGTTAACACAGTAATCCTCACAACACCATCTAAAACCTACAGAACTACCAAGGACTGGATGTCCACAGAATGCTCAATGTAAGTGTTTACCACAAGGAGAAGACTTATTTGTCTCCAAGATCAGAGCTGGAACAACCTCCTTACTGTGCAGATCGTGATTGTAATCTGAGGCATTTGTTCAGGTTCAACACATGAATTCCCATGACAGTCAGCTCTAAACAGTCAGTCATTCAGATAATTCTTTAATTTAAGGAGAAAAAAAGCAAGTCCAACACTAACCCTCTTCCAAAATATCAATGAACAGGTCCTTATTCTTGCCAAAGGCTGTAAGTTTAACAGTTTCAAATGGTACACCCATGTGGAGGTCTAAAGTTTGTTGTGATCTTGAACGTTCTACTCGGATCCAAGTTCTCTTATACCTGAAATACATAAATTAATATCTCTTCACTGACAACTACCTGAAAGAAAATAAATTCTTTAATTAAATTTATACTGTACAGTATATTTATAAGTTAAACTGTCAACTTCACTAAGGTCCTCTGAAAAATATGGAAGGAATATGTGTATGAATGGTATGGCATTACACTACATTTAAAACTTACCTTAAATAACCAAGGACATGAAGACAGTTATAAATCAACAGAGAAAAACCCTATCATTACTGCATAAGTTAATTACATATGGGTTGGAAACAGCATTAGAATTGGTATATTATTTACTTTTAAGCTAACACCAGTCTCCCCAAACCTTATCAAATACAACTAAATACTGTACTGTATAAAGAGTTTATAGAATAAACAATAACAGCTTTATGTATCCAGATGGAAGACTGATGATCAGAGAGCCAGTTCAGTACACCACAATTTAGTAGTGTGCCATTAAATCTCTCACATGTTAACCTGAGCTTTCATATGTAATGATGTTTCACACTACTCCTGTTTGTTTTGTGTTATAGTCTCCTGAGCTACTGATACTTTTAAGCATAAAGGAAGACCTATAAACTGGAAGCATCTCTTAGTAGAGAAACTTGAATAAAGAGGAGACCATTTAAGATGGCCCAGGAATCCACAGACACAACACTTTCTTCTCTTAAAGCAAAGCTCATTTGAAGCTGTGTAGCAAACCCAAACTATTACAGTATGAGTAAAAGACCTGTTCAACCACCTTGGTCAAGATATTCTCTGACCTCTTGAGAACCCTGTAACATGCCAGTTTTTCTTTGAATAACCTTATACTGTACAGGTATATTAATGTATTTCATCCTCATATCCATACCTGTCTTTTCTTAATGTATTATGTACTTCACCAATTAAGGTTTTTAAGTGCAGGAAGTCCTCGTTTACTGTACATTTGTAGTTTGGATTTTGAGGGTAAAGCAATTTAATATGTACAGTATTACCAAAATATTTGATTCTTACAGCAAATTTTGTTTTTCACAATGCTATTTTAAAAGAAAAAATTCAAACCACAGGCAAAAACCTTCAAGAGGCACACAGACCCCCATAAATCATTCATTACTATAGCTTAGATCATATTTTTATGAACTGTTATATATTATGTTTATTGTTTTAACCTCTTCAATACTGGATGCCACTTAATTTTATTTGGGTAACACCCGATGACTTTACTCAACACTAAGAAACCCCTCGTACCTAAGGGGTTAATGTCATAAGAGCGGTAAAAATAGGTACAGTATAGATGGCGGTGATAGTTGGTCAGTTGACGAACACCCATGAGAGGATGGAATCTAACTGGCAGAGATAGACCTTGGTGTGTGGAGCATGATGAATGAGAAGGGTTGGCCCACTTAAGGCTTGCTCAGAGTAACAATTGCTACACCGTGCCACCCAAAATAAGGGGATGGTGTAATGTGGAGGCAAGTGGACAGTGATTGGCATAACCAAGTGTGTCAATGAAATCACGCTTACATAAATGAAGGAGGGGCATTATACCTTAATTCCTCTATCAGCAGCCTATATGACATGAGTTGTCTGGATTTTGGACATAAGTAGAAATATTTGTGATAAGCACTGTATGCAGAACTGTAAAAAGGTACAGTAGAGTAAAGGAAAACAATATACACGGGTGTAAACCTATTTCTACAATATGCCTTCACAAGTTGTGTATTTATGAACAAGATAGTCAATGCAATAATTTATAAGGTCTCTATGCATACACACCTTCATAAATGATATCAAGAAAGAGTTTTCTTTGATTTCCAAATGCAGTAAAAGTTACATTCTCCCAAGGGGTACCATGCTGGAGGTCTAGTGTGTGCTGTTCTCTTGTACGTTCCACTTTCAGCCATGTCCCGCCATACCTGGTGGTGACACCCTATCACAGTCTTCAAACTTTATAAATCTAAATTACCCGGTAAACTGATAGGTTCAACAACAGTATTTTAACAATTAGAAAAATATAATTACTTCAGTAACCATTCAGTATACAGTGCAGTATAGTACTGTAAACAAAGCCTACAACTGTGAGAACAATACAGTGTTCTGGCCTTCTCCCTGTTCTGCTTGGGAAAGATACTCGATACAGTGCTAGAGTAAAACAGTGCACTGCTTCCTCAGAAAGACCCCAAATGGCCATTTGTGAAGATAGATGAAACGAAATCCCTTTACAAATGAAATCCAAAATAACTCCTAACAATTTTACAAAGACCCTCAGAGCTAACTTCAAACTGAAAGGGCAGACTTGAGTAGGATTTTTACTTTTTCAAATTAAAGGTTAAAAACCTTATAAAGCCTCTATGAATAAGATTTTGCTAATAGATCTTTTAAATCAATTCATAGTCATCTGAAGCTTCTTGTCAAAACTAAGCACCTTAAACCATTTCAGGTCATCAATGTAAACAGACTGCCAGGTAACAACCTATAAATCCACATGGAACATAATTTTATTATATTCTTTCATCTCTCAATAAGTTACTCATGAGACTGAAACAAAAATTTCCTACTCACCAAAAAAAGTGTTCACCAACGCTGGGTATAAAATCATGACGAGTGGTAATTTTACCAGTTTCAATTTCTTGAAATTTTGTCTCTACACTAAGATGTTGTGTCTTTCTTGCACCTCTTAAGGTGATCCACTGAAGCAGCCAATGATACGATTTATCACGGCACGGAACCTCTAGAGTTGTCATGTAGTGCCGCCGGAACAGGATCATCCCCATCTATTGTAACAGAAATTATAAAAGATTTTACTGATTGTGCACAACTTTTTCTGTTATGGTTACAAAGCAATATCACCATTAATGTACTGTTTAACTTATTAATGTTCTTACCATATATCCTTTTCTTAAAACTGCTGCTCCAGCTCCAACTCCAAACAACCCAAAGCCAGCACCAAAGTAAGGATTATCTGAGAGTGACGATATTAAGTCTTGAAAACCCATTGTTGTGCACCAAATTTTCACAATTATTTCGATAATTCTGAAAGATAATAATTCATGAATAGTATATTGCACTATAATCTTCACTGGCGTTGTGGTACATGTTATCCATTACACAATATCATTAACAGGGTATCAAGGTCAGACTGCTCACGTCTAGTATTACTATATTTCCAGTTAATGGTTCATCCATGCAACTGCCCTCCAGTGATAGCCTGAATGGCTCCATCAATTATAACCAATATCTGTAAACTTACCAATAGAACATACAGGTCAGCACTAGTTGTCTGTGTAGATATTACTTCCTGCCTCTTGTTCACTCATCTTGTTTTTTAATACATCCCAGGTAGCTCTTGACCTTATATGATTACTACTGAGGTTTTCGTCAGGGATAGATGTAAATAAACTTCATAATGTATCACAGTTACAATTTCTCACATAAATGTTCCTTCGCCGGATCTTTAAGGACGTCGGCATTAGTTACCCATGAGGTGGAGACAAACTCGTGTAAACTAATATATAATATATTTAACTTGATTTAATTATAAGACAGGAACTGAATTTGATAAAAATGACAAAATATAATATAAAAATAGCTATGATAACTTAATTTGACTATAAATTGTACTTTAACTGTGAGACTAGCCGTAGAAGGAATTAGTACCAACATGGAGGTAAACAAATAGACATTGAACAGTTACAAGTGTTCACTGTTGTTACGCTCACTGATTCATAATGATGATTATATCTATATTGAATGGAAGGCCAGTAACGGCTATTACCCATGGGTCCAGTGTAACGATTATTATAAAGAACTATTAGACTTAAAAGATAAAATAAATACCTATTAGTTGGATGCTTGTCGTAGAGGTGGCGTTGGATGGCTGGTGTTTGTGCCTCACTGTTGGCCGGGTCGGTGGCGGCAGATATAAAGATGGCTCCAAACGCTCGCCACCGGTGTGTTGTTTGTGGGAAAAGAAAGGGATATGATAGAGAGCTAAGGTTTAATTTCTTCTCAAAAGACAGGAAAAGGTAAGTTTATAGTTATGTGGTTAATTCAGAAGCAGTGACTTAAATTGCAATTTAATTTATCATTTCACCATATATCCGTGAGTAAAAAAGTCAGTAATTTAGTGGCACTTTCCAGGTCCTTTCCATTCAGCCTGGCTGAATGAGCCACCTTTAAATTTCATTTCCTTGATAGCTGATGCTCATATTTACCATTACTGTATAGATGTATAGACTGGCTAAGCTGAACGTAGCATACTTATATCAAGTTTCTTCTGGGTACTCCACTTTCCTCCTGTACTAACATTGGACAATATTGTTCATAACAATACTAACAAAGAAAGAGACAAACCGTCCGAACGCTTAATGAGGTGATAAGTGGTGAAATAATAAATAATAAAATTAGATAATTAAATGAATGCCGATGGTATCGAAATTAAAACAAGAGGAAAATACTTGTGTTACCGTTAATAAAAAATTTCGCGCAACAGTAAGGACCATTTTTTATGATTTCCGGCTTGTCCAATAGATGGCGCATGTCTCGGGGTCGTAAGAAAATACAAGGGAGTGTTAGGTCCTTGTAATATTCCTTGGCCAGGTTTTTTTTTTCATTTATTGGGCACCTCCCCTACATCCTTGTGTAAGGTGAAGCGTTTACAGCGCCCAACAGGGAAGCATGCTAAGTTCATGCTTGCCTTTATGTCTCACGAGTTAAGGGCGTAGCCAGGTTGGTCCAGTGCTAGTGTAGGAGTCAACCTGAAATGCTCGGTTGGGTCAGCTTGTACCTTTCTGCTTTGCAACACGCATATATATATATATATATATATATATATATATATATATATATATATATATATATATATATATATATATATATATATATATAATGTGTGTACTTGTATATACCGGTGAATGTATGTATGATATAAACCCAAGAGGAAAATTCTAAAGCTTTTGCACAACTATCAACAAAATGCGTTTATACAAAGGAAAGTGCCAGTTTGAATAATCCTATTGTTAAAACGGTGGCTGGTCTGGGGTTGTTGGTCAGGGTAGCGGCTGGTACAAGTGTCAAAGCACACCGGGACCCCGTAAGTCACTGTATATAATGAAACAAAGAGTTGAATACAGTACTGAACCCACACAACAGACAAGGCAATAAATAAAAATAGTTGTTAAATATATATTTAATACAGAACTCTTGAAAATGTATGAAATAGTTAGCCCTTAATTATAACTGAAATATTATATAAATTATTTTCAATTAAAGTGATACCATTCACCAAGTAAACTAACATATCCCTCATTTGGTCTCACGTTTTATTTCTGATTCCATAATATCTTAGCAGCCAAAATAATAAAACACGAGTACATACGATTGGCTAAGATCCCGGCCAAAGAGTAAGATATTATTACAAGATACTTTTTTGAATGGCAGTGGGCAGATCATGTTGAAAAAGGTAGGCCGCAGATTTTCTTAATTGGATAAAAAAAAGACCCACAAAGTGACCAAATCTTACATAGATTTTATCAGTAAGTTTAGATGCACTCGGTACGTTTAAATTAGAAGATAGGAGCCACATGGAGGACGCCTTCGTACTTAAAATTATTATTAAACTGCATTCTTCTAGTGTTAATTTCTATACTATATTCGTTGGTTTGTTATGATTCCGTTACCAGAAAAAAATATATTATTGTATGGTGTATATTTGTGTTACTTACGTCATGTTAATCCAAGTTGAATTAACACCCATTTATATTATAACCACTACCTCCTCCTCTGGGCAGTACACCAGATAAGACACTGCGTCGTACAGTAGTTGACCACATAATCACAGCAAGTGGCAGCAGAGGTGAAAGAATGTCGGTCCCTACCATGACTGCTGTACGGTATACAACCTACAAAAACACATCATATCACTGGACGAAGTACAGCGCAGAGGGACTTGAATTAGTGCCATAAAGTCTTATAAAAACATACACACACACACACACAGTGGTTACATTACATATCCAGGCGAGTGAGGAGTTTGGTAATGACTGAGGAAACCAGTGTCTGTTTCCCCAAATGTCCAATGACCTTTATCCTTAAGTTAGACAAAAGCTTAATTCACACACTTAATCGTGCGTGAAATGAATGACCCCGTGGTGGCACTACTCTCACCCCTGCCTACAATAACACAGGTTTGCTGCTCCACTTCATCCCATAATACTATCTGAAGGAACCAGAACCACCAATGCCAAAGGTAAAGTTGGAGTTAAGGAGAAGAACATTCACGGACTTTGTTTTATATGTGACGCCGATGAAGTGTGGGGAAAGATATTAGTCTGCTCTGGTGGATGTTCCCAGGGGAGCGCATTGATTTGCTCGCGGTGTCTCAACTAGACGATGTTGACGAGAGGCTTAACGTGAGTCGCCCACACAATAGAACTTCACCCAATATTCTTTTGAGCTTCAGACTTGAGGACACTGGTATCTGAAGAAGATAATGTACAAAGGAACATAATCGATTATAAATCAGGAGATGTTATTTGGCTGTGTTTGCACCCATGTTTTTTCGCGGGAGGAATAGGTGAAGGAGCTGCATGTCTGGGTGTTGTTGGCGGCGATGACAAAGAACGGTGTGTTGGGGGCTCATGTTTTAGTTGTTGTTATGGTTGTAAAGGATGGCGGCATGAGTGCCGGGTACTGGGCGAGTTGGTGACGTCATTCTCTGCTGCCACTTTGTGAATGGTTTGAGCTACACAGTTGAGGTTATCACGCTGGTTCTAGAGTTTAGGACAACGCATGGAAATTTTAATTGGTATCTGTTGAAGGATTATTGGTTTCAGTGTTGTATATGTAACTACGCGAAAACAATATTCGCTCATTCAGGTTTTACACTTATATACCTAGGTTGTCTTAATGCTTAAAGTTCTTAGTACAAATTTTATTTATTTTTCACATTGAAAAATGCTTTCTGGGAAATATAAAGAAGTTCTTTCACTTACAAGTACGTCAGTATTACCTGGCTGTAGATGCAGGTGAAACAATAAACCCCATGCATACATACCCCTGTACTGTACATACAAAGCACACGCTCTCTCGCCCACACACCTCAATCAGTGTACTCAAACGACTACATTTGCACAATGCGAATATGACACCATCAAAGCAACTACGTAGACGTACTGTATGTTCAACACCCATGCACAACAGTAAAGTCTCTCTCAATGCGCAGTTTATACAACGACGCCCACACGGAACTAACATGTGGACGATGGGTGTTTGTCGAGCAAATATTGTCTTTCCTCTAAATGAGCCCATTTGACCTCTCACGTCTAGGACAAGCACCAGGAGGCTGGCTTCAACAGGTGGTTCCCTCCCTATCGAGGCCAAACTAATCGATCGCGAGGCCCCAGGGCTGGGTGTGAGCCACGCCATTCGCTAAGAAGCAGTAGGGACACCCAGTGAGATATATAAACACACATATAAACATTTTCGGTTCAGTAGAGAGAAGAGTACGAACCTGTCGCCACAAAGACTTCTCACCTCTCCTCTCTTACTTCCTTCCCCCCTCCTCGTTCACCTACACCCACCGCGCTCTCTCTCTCTCTCTATCTCGCTGGAACTCTCATTCTTGCTCTTCTCCCCCACTCTCTCTGCCTCTCCCAGCGAGCCAGTGTCAGTGGCGGTCTGGGAGAGACGCCTTCTCACTGTGCTTCTCCAGCTGTACCTTCTGCTGCTTGTGTTTCCCCGGTCTCCTGGTGGTGGTGGTAGTGGTAGATAACACACCTCACTCTTCTCCAGCGGTTAGTACTCTTGTGTTGGCAGCTTAGTGACCCTCATATATTGCCATTGATGCTAGCCTCCCCACGCCTGGCTGCCACAACCCTAGCCATTCAACCATATGGAGAGGTCCAGCTGGCCAAGTATACCTTAATTTTGCAAAGGGGTGAAATAATAACAATAAACATCTCCCGTGACGTCATCGATCATGACATTCATTGAAGCTAAAAATAACATTTATGGCGTCGTTTTTTTTTTGCAATAATAAACACGTCATAACAGAGTGACTCGGGGGATATACCAGTGACGTAACTTATCCTACCACATTTTCCCTCCACAATTTTGACATTAAACAAAACGAACACTTTATTACGGTAATTATTAAATAAGATGCAGAGGATGAGCACAGTAATGGAGATATCTTAGAGTATGGGTAGCTTTGTGTGCGTGCAAGATGTGTGTACTATGTAGGGGTACTCGAGGTCATAATTGCTTCCACCTAAATGTATTTGCTTTGGTGTTTGAGTCACTTGACTATTAAACACCCCCAGCGTGTTTTACTTGAAGATTAACCACTCCAACCAATTTTAACCTAACTTAATAACCCACCCAACTTAACGTAATTTAACCTAACCTAATCTAACTTACCCTGACTTAACCTAACCTATTTCATCCTAACCTAGACTACTCTACTCCCCCGAGGCAGCGTTTAGGGTGGTTAATCTT